AAATAGGGGAAAGGAAATCAGATTTGTCATGTAGTAGTGATTTCTTTTTTTTTTTTCATCACTTTAAGATAGTTATGAGAAAGACTGTAAGAAGAATCAGCCCCCCAAAAGCTGATGTGTGAGTTGAACATACAGCATGTGTCAAGCCCAAAAACATCACAGTAAAAATCTGGAGTGTTGTGTTTTTATTCCAAGATTATTAGGTTTGTGTTAATTATTTATTCCTGAAATGGTTAAAAATTGCTCAGGCAAATGGACACCCAAAGAGACCCCAAGACTCATGTTCAACTTTTTTCTCAATTATTCTCTTACCAAGTGGCAGGCAGATTTCCCACACTTACTAAGCCAAAAGAACTCCACATAGGCAAGGGACAAGTGTCAGCCAGCACCTCATTTCTCTGGGACATATAGATGGCTACTGGGATATTTGGCTATCAGCATATGGCCAGTATATCTCACTAAAGGTGATGTACCATGTCTAACAATATTTCTTTGTAAGTTTCAGAGCTGAACACTGTGGTACTTTTGGCAATGTGTTACCCTCTTTCAAGTGCATTCATTCCTATATGTAGCATTTGATGAAGGGTGGGGGGTCATTCAAGCATGGATTTTGTTCAGTTTTACAAAAGATACAATAAGATCATCTTCAATGTGTTCCCTTGTGCTTTTTCTCCTGTGTTTTCCCACCTTTTCAGATTTCCTTCCTTCCTCCCTTCCCATGGCCCAGCAATACAGTTCATCCATAAATCTAGAATGTATGCCATGCTAGATATTGTTCATTTGTATTTCCTTCCACTCTTTTTATATTTTAGTAACTAACCCTAAATGTACAGAAAGAATATAATTAAATAGGTACCAGAATTGGGTAGTTAAGTGTATTGTTACCACTGAGTTACAGCAGCAAATAAAGAGAAGGAACTGGAGGTATTTTGGAAAGCTCTAGGACAGGCTAGGCTAAAGAGGGCCATCCTCCAGGTTATGGTCTACAAGTCCCAGAATTCCCCAATCAGCATAACCATTTCTGAGAATTTGTGGAATTGGCTGAATTCAGGATCCAGGGGGATCCAGACCTATATGGGTAGGCTTTGCAGAATATTGAACACATTTAAATCATTCTATTAGAGTCAAGTCTATCTTTATGATAATGGAGGGCTCCTGGTAGGAAAGAAATGACTCAAGGCAGACTCTTGGCTATCAGCAATTGACATCCCTGTATGCCACATGATGGGGCCCTGCTTTCACTTTTTTTTCTTGAAATTTGGCACCTTCAACCATAGGAATGGGCTGAAAGGTCCAGAGATTGTAAACCACATGCAAAAGCAACTAATGATACCTTAGCAGAATCCCTGGGGCTTTGTTTCCTTGCAAGACCGTTGTTTTTGCTAGACCATAATGCAGGATAGTTTGGATGTGGGTCTGCGTGAAGTTTGTTATTTCCTTTTGTAGCTTTGAGTTCCCATTTCTATGCCAGGCCTCTGGAGAGTGAAGGGAAATAATCCACAGGGCTTCTATCTGGAACTCTTTGTGATTTCAGCTGCTGGGGAACCCCTGGAATGAGAATTGCATGATGAAAACCTGGTTGTGTAGCAGGAAACAAATTAATTTTGATTACTGAATTAATACATCTTGAAATAGCCATCCAGTTCATTAAATACACATCCTGAAAGGTCAGGCAATATTTATTTCTCCTTGAAAATATTTGAACAATTCTTCTCTTCTAGTTGCTAGTAGAATTTGAATTTTTTGATCTGATGCTACACCTTCTGTTTAGCTAAGTCTTTTCAGCTTGAATTAGAGGACAGTTGATGTTAATTATTGTAATAATAATAATAATAATAGTAGTAGTAGTAGTAGTAGTAGTAGTAGTAGTAGTAGTAGTAGTGGTAGTAATAATATAAAAAATTGGAAGGGACCTTGGACCTAGTCCAACCCCCTGCTCAGGCAGGAAATCCTATACCATTTCGGACAAATGGCTGTCTAGTCTCTTCTTAAAAACTTCCATTGTATTTTAACCATTTGTGTTGGTTATTGTGTGATTATTGTCAAAAGCAAAAGAATTTTATTTTTATGTCAGTCAAATCATTTGGTGAATAAAAATTCATTGGACAGTCATCTCTCTGAAGAATTCTGATCATAAAATATGGGGGAGGGGCTGCATTTTTTCCATTCAGTTCAGCTGAACAGAGGTACAGAACAACTTCATTGTGAATTAGCTGAGTGATTCAAAAGCACTTGTTTTCAAGCAGAGCAAAAGCAAGCAATTCAGCAACTGCACCATTGGAGTGTATAAATGTAACCGTATCCTTGATACCTGACTGAGGGTTAGCATTCCAAGATGAAGCTTTTTTGAGCAGGATTTCATAGATGTATTAGGTCCAGCTGTGTCCCGATGTGTTATCTTCCCCAAAGAATGACAATTTGGGGGTGTGGTTGTGGTTGTAGTTGTGTACTCAGAATGACAATGCTATGGCAAAGTCATGTACTACCCTGTCTTCAAATGGCATAAAAAAGTAGAGGGCTGCAGCTGGTATTTTAGAATAAATGAGGCAGTTAAATAACTCTGCTGTACTTTAATTGCAGGGTTGGCTGGCCTCTGTTATTACTCATAGATCACAGATGGAGAAGTAAGAATTACAGAGGTTGGTGTAGAACTGTTGATATTTACATCCGGGTGAAACTGAAGCAAAGACCTTGACACTAATAGTAGTTTTACATTTATTGATCAGATTTTTTTTTAGTAAGTACTAAGTATAAGTATGAATTGGGGAAGATTCTAGAATGTCTAAGTGTTTGATACACTGTTGGTGAATAAAGTACAGCTTTGTAGCAGTTTTCCTAAATGCCACATGTAAAAAAAAAACAAAACTGCCAAAATCCCAATGCTTTCCCAAAAGCAATCTGCAAGGAAAAAATGCAAGATGCACAAAGAGTTTAAATGTCCCTGGCCATCTACACTAGTGAGGTGACCTTAAAGAGGAAAATCTGGAGTTTTGCTCCAAAAGCTCTGGTCCAGGACAAAAATGAATTTGAACTATTTAACTTCCTTTTCTAATTTCACATCTTTGTTTTAAAGCCAAGTTCAGACAACTGGAGGTTGGACCATAGTAATTATTATTTAGCATATGGTGATGTTACATTAGCCAGGAGACTGCAGTGTTAATATAACAAAGTTGTTTGGCTGCTGACAGTTGGCCATACCAATGAAGGAATGTCTTGTTTTCTGTGGTGTAACAGACATTTTTCCCCCCAAATGTCAATGAATCTGTTCTAGACCAATCTATGTGTCTTTCTCTTTGTCTCCATTAAATAGTGTCCATTCCATGTGGGATGGAGAGAGACATGCTAGCTTGGCCTCTTATTTTCACAGTTTCTGGAATGCTAGCAAGGCTAATCTATTGCAACAAAACAGAAGAGCTATTTTAACAGAAGGCATTTTAAAGGCTAATGGATTTATTATGACATATGATTTCATGGGTCTCCATGGCATAAAAGCTTCTGCCACATTAAATTGATTAGTCTTTAAGATGCCAGAAAATTCTTTGTTGTTGTTTTTGCAGTTTCCCTTTTGCTTCAACTGGTTTGAGGGAATGTGCTTGTGCTCTCCCCCCCCCTCTCTCCCCTATAGGAGAGACATTTAGTGTTCAGTAGCAAGACATCTGAAAGAATCTAATAGCAACTTTTCCAATAAAATTGATTTAAAAAGCATAGGTCCTATGACTGTCCACATTATTTTTTAAAAAGGCAATAGTTGTGTCCACACAATATATTTATCAATGATTTTTAATTCATTGAATTAACCAAATTTCTTGGCTTTGCATAACAGCCATAAACTAACCAACTGGACACGGTTTTGTCAATTCAGCAGGCTAAAATGAGGTTTATTTATTTATTTATTTTTAAAATTTATAAGCCGCCCCACTCCTGAAGGACTCTGGATGGCTAACAATAAAAAACACATAAAACATAACAAAACAACAGTACAAAGACAATCATCCAGGGGTTAGGTTTTATAAACCCCAGGCCTGCCAGAAAAGCCAGGTCTTAAGTAGCTTACGGAAGACCAACAGGGTGGGAGCGGTCCTAATCTCCGGGGGGAGCTGATTCCAAAGCGTGGGCGCCATCACAGAGAAGGCCCTCCTCCATGGCCCCGCCAAATGGCATTGCTTGGCCAACGGGGCCTGAAGACGTAGGGAACTATGAGGTAGTAGGCGGTCTCGCAAATAGCCTGGCCCTGAGTCATATAGGGCTTTAAAGGTAATGACCAACACCTTGAATTGGACCTGGAGACCAATAGGCAACCAGTGCAGCTCACGGAGGATAGGTGTAACGTGGGTGTATCGAGGAGCACCCACTATCGGGCGGCTGCATTCTGGACCAACTGTAGTCTCCGAATACTTTTCAAGGGTAGCCCCAGGTTGATTGATTTGTGTGTGACAGTAGTGTAGCAAAATAAAGACAAATTAAGAATCATGGTTTACTATATTGTGTAAACATTTAATCTAAAAGTCAAGGTACAGAAAAAATAAGTTAAGGGAAGAAAGATGAAAGATGTAGAGAATTGTAAGTTAGCATTTATATCCAATTTGTTCTCAGTTGACCTTAACACTTTGAGGCTTTTTCTTGAAGAGTGTTGGTGACCCTTAATTATCTGGCTGATGATTGAGATTGAAATGCCTTGTCCCTCAGGACTGTAACAATTCTTTTGGATTTCAGTGAAACTGTTGCAGAATGTATTTATAGTTTACACTAATGAGGATCATATAGTCAAATTTACACTATTGTATAAACATTATTATGCAACAGTCGGGTAACTAATTCATAAACAACTACTGGCATCAGCTTGTATCTCATGAGAAGAACAGAGCAAAGGGAAATAGAATGAAAGCCACAACCAATTAATGTTCAGATTAATTGGGGAACTGGATTCTATTCAATAAATGTGAGGAAGGCGAAGGAATGTTCCACTAGAAATAACAAATGTTCTTTTACAATAAACAGTACAATGGCAACAATCAGCAAAGATCCTGGATGCTTGGATTAATGAGAATTTAAGCAGCAGGCAATTGGGGATTACTGCCTTGCTATACATAGCAACAAACTGTGTTCCACATCTGATTGGAGGTAGAGGTGAGGCGGAGGGAAGAGAGAGAGAGACATAGCCAGGACAGCCACATGGGCCAAGCTGGTTCCTCTGGAGTAGTTGATACAAGTGCTGGGATAAGATTAGATGATTGCATGTTAGAAGATTGACTTGGCATCAGGTGTTTTTTTAAAAAATGTTTTAATGAGTTTAATTTTATAACTTTAATATGGTTTTGTATGTTATTTTAACTTATGATTGAGAGCTACCCAGAGTTGGTTATAAGATGAATAGCTATATAAATGTTTTAAATTAAATAAGTTGAATTAGAATCTCCTGGAAAATCAAGGTCCCTATTCACCTTCAGCCATGGAAGTTCTAGATCAGGGGTGTTAAACTCACCATATCTGGGGTTTCTGCAGATGTGGGTTTCAAAAGGGGAATCAGTTGGTGATTCAGCTAATACAGGGGTCTTCAATCTTCAAACCAGAAGGTACAGAAAGAGATACTGTATGTATTTTGAATAATGGTAATTTGTATTACAAGAAATCAAGTGTTGTTGCATTATCTAGGGCTTCTTCTCCAGAATGTATGTCTGAAGTGAGAATAAGGTTGTAAGAAGCGGGTGGTTAACGATTGACCAAAACTTCTACTCTAGTGAAATCTCATATAGGACAAAATTCCACTGTAATCAGAGCGGAGTTGAAACCATTTAACATCAGGTGTTCTGACCTATCACTGTATGGCAGGTCAGATAAGAAGATTCCACACCCTCTTTGGGGTAGGCCATACAGGAAGGTACCTATCCCTTGCCTTATGCTCCCTCCCCTAATAGCAATCTTACTTTGAACATTGGGGGACAGAGAGGGGTTAGTTTTTCCACAGCCAGCATCATTGCACAGAACTGTAAGTGAATGATGGTAATGAGCATGTTATTTGGCATTGCCTGAGCGGTTAGAGCAAATAACATTCATAATAAATCAGCTGCAGAAAATTTATTAAATGTTAAGCTTAATTGGTGAAATTTAGTAATTTACTGTGATTTATAGGTTATCTGACCCCCTCCTATTTCCCCCCAAAACGTGGCTGTCAAAAAAATTTAAATCTGTATGCCGATTAATTGTTTTGACTTTTTTTTTTTTTTTTAAAAAAGTATTTTAAAACTGGAATTTTTGATCTTAATTTAAAATGCATTAATATTCCTTGAGATATTATAAATGATCCTTGCAATTCCCAGTTCCATCTACTGGTGTACTGTATGAATAGCTGAATTACTCATTCATCAGCATTATAAGTGAGAGAAACCGAGCCACTTCCTAATCAGCCTGAAGGAAGTTGCTTGTTGAGAATAAGCAGCTTTCAAGATTTATTTTATCTTCTGTAATTGTCCTTAATGGGGGGGGGGGTTGGAAAAGCATGCAAGACTTTTTTTCTTAGATAATAATTCTCTATTAAGTGATTTGTGAAAATAATGTTTATATATGTGAATTCAAAATAGGTCTGCCTGCTCATTTATTAAATTGATTCACAGGAAAAAAATATTAAATGGAAAGAAAAATCAGTTAGATCCACTGACTTAATTATGGTTGTCCGTAAGTAGAATGCAACAGAGGTAAAGGAATAGGGTGATGCTGACTGCAGAATTACTGGAATAGACCCTGGCTGTCGTTTGACAATTTTAGAATATATGCTTATCCTGATGATTTAAGATTAAGCTGGAAAGAAGAATTTAAATAAGTTTGAAGGGTCTTTTGATGAAAATGTGGAAGCATAGGAAGCTGCCTTCTGCAGTATCAAAACGTGGATTCGTCTAGCCCACACTGATTGGCAATACTGCATTGGATTTTAGGCAGGATTCTTCAAGGCATAGTTGTAAATGTCAGGATTGCATTTGGAAATTTTTTTCTAGCAACGTCAGCACTGACTTATGTCTCTTCCTTGAGGAACACTAAAGACTGAGGTGAGCTCAGTGGAATCGCTAAGGAGTGAAGGTATTTTTTGGGGTGTGTGTGCGTATATGTATGTACTGTACACATATGTATTTTGGAGCAGGGGAACCAATTCTGGAAGAACAGGAGTGCTGCTGGCTGGATATCAGAACCACACACACAGTAAGAATGTTAACCCATTCTACATAGAGGCTCCTGCAGAGTTTTTATTTATCTGATGTGGCTCTCTGCTTCTCTAGCCCTTTGATACATGAAAATGGCTGGCCATAGTACATGGAATATGTTGCTTGATGATTCATTTTATTCACTGTGACACTTTCTAGTGTGGACATGCAAAGAGAATTTTAATATAGCTCCAATAATACGTGGGTGAAAGGGAAGAAAGGAAAAACTGTAAAGTACATTTCACACAATAATGCATAATATTCACATAAATGCCCTTTACAGGCACTGCATTCAGTGCTTATAGCATACACACGGAGAGATTTTTTTCATGTACTGTCATATACTTCACTTCCTAACCCAAATAACTTTTTACGAGGACAGATATAGACTCCAAAGTACAACTTAAGGGCATATAACAGTGTTTTCTCACAGAAATTCCAAGGTGAACATCAGTGTTGATATGATGTTCAGACTTTAAAATTCAGATGAGTAAGGTTATTTGTGGACTACATCTGACCCCTTTCATATAAAGTTAGATTTATTGGCTGTTCTGCAAGGAGTTACTGCAAAGCAAAAGGAAAGGAAAGCAAAGGAAACCAAATAGTATTAAGAAAGATTTGTTGCCCATCTTTCTATTTGTAAAACTCTCTCCGCTTCCCACTGCTACTTTGTTAAAATAGTTTTCAAATAAGTATTTAAAAAAATAATTAGTACTATGCACGACTCCTTCATTTCCACATTAATGTTGCTAATCAGGTGCCCAGCTGAACTGCATTCTGGGAAGCACGCCAGCTATGGAACGAATGCTGTTGCTGCCAGATCCTGCCAGCTGTCAGCAGAGGCCCACTCGCCCTGGGAATTTCATCTCGTCAGGCTAGGAGCCGGAAATCTTTTCTTGTACATTAAATTAACCAAAGAGCAGTGAAAATGTGGCTTAGCAATGGCACGGTATTCATTACTCAAGTAACTGAACTGTTCTGTATTATATAGGGTTAAAAATGGGTATTTAATTATAGGATAACAAGATTTTTGAGCAAAAAAACAAAAAGAAGAGCTTTTTAGTCTCAGATTAAAAAAAACACACACACACACAGACACACACAGGGCTTCCTGTAATAACTGACGGGACTTGCTGTCCAAATCTTGCATGAGGCTTGGAACTGCTTTTGCTTCCCAATAGAGAAGTCATTATGCATCTGCTAAGGCAGGGCTTTTTAACTTTTTCACCCATTGTACCACTTTTAGGATATGGCAACATCCCAGTATCACCAGTCGCCTAGCAAGGTGTCAAAAACTTGATGACCAAAAAAAAAAAAAAGGAAAAAAGTGATAAAGTACAGGTAGTCCTCGACTTACAACAGTTTGTTTAGTGACTGTTCAAAGTTACAATGGCACTGAAAAAAGTGCCCCGCAAGCCACAGCCGAGGAAGACACCTGCCTGCCCGCCCAGTGGCGCTCTTTCTCCTGTCTGAGGTTTTTATTGTTGTGAGCATTTCGGTTGAGGATTGGCAGTGGGGGTGGGGTGGGGGGGTTGGTTTTTATTCCCCCTGTCTGCTGGGTAGTTGCAGCAGGTTTTGGTCACTTCACATGACCCTGGGACACTGTGACCATCATAAATATGAATCAATTGCCAAGCATCTGAATCTAAATCACAAGACTCTGGAGATGCTGCAACATTCCAGCTGATCGGCGCTTCTTCTGGGTTCAGCAGAAGTGCCAGAATCAGTGCTGTTTTCCAGCTGATTGGTGCTTCTTCGGGGCTCAACAGAAGCACCAGGATCAGCTCCGAGCTCCAGCTGGAGCCTGGCGCTGATCCTGGGGCTTCCCCTGAGCCCTGACAGCCCTGCAGCTCCAGCCATCTCTCGCTCAGGCTTGTGCGGTGCTGCCATCGGTTCAGCTCATTCCCCTCCCCCACTACCACTTTTCTAGGATGGTCACGTACCACCTGCCGGGTGCCAATGTACCACAGGTGGTACTCATACCACTGGTTGAACAGCCCTGCGCTAAGGAGACGAAAGGTAGGAAATCAAATTCTTGATCTTATGTGTCAATGTCTCAAATGATATGTTGCAGTTATATCCAGTACTGCAAGTATTTTTGGGAGGATTTCTCTCCCACACCCAAATCCAAATTTAAAAGAGGCAAAATCAACCCTTATTAAGTTTTGCTAAATAATACTTCCTCGTCACAACTTCCTGTGGAGTTCCATCAGAGCCTTGCATGCTGTTGATTGAATTAAGGATGTGGGCTTTGCATCTTCCAAGCCAACTTGAAGCATTTCTGATTTATATCTCACTGTCCTCCCCTTCTGGTGTTGGTGGTGTCCTTTCTGACTTGCTTATCCGTAGATCATCAGGCTTGGCATCTCATAGCAATTTCCTTGCAGGAAAGCAAATAGACACTTATCTCTAGCTGGGTGGTAGACTTGCTATTACTTGCTTTCTTAAAATGGCAAGTTTATCATCTTGTCAAGAAAAATCCTTTAATCCACTAAGAATCTAAGGTACTATGGAACCAACAAATCACAATTGTTTTCATAAGAAAATACAATGGAAGTAAATTATACCTTTGGATTGTTACTGAATTGAAGTAGAAGGCGTTCTAGCTAATTTGGGCCTAAGCCATATAAACTTCTGTATGTAAGAGTAAGCACATTAATTGGGTTTTGGAAAGCAACTGGCAAGCAGGGCAGCCGTTTCCAAGCCTACCTGGACTCTCTTATTTTGGGCTAGTTGCAGTGCAAACTCTTCTTGTTTAGCAACAATTAGCAACTATTCACAATGCAACGGTAACAAATGGTAATAAAAGTTTCATTTTCCAACCAATGTGTGTATTTATGACCAAATTTCATATTCCTGACAATGATGCATGCTGGAGTGGGGGTAATGTTGGCATAGCTGTATGAGAGAACTTTATCGGACTGAGATGACAGCAATTGGTGACCTTTTCAATATCTCTCTTGTTCATTTAGTAACCATTTTGCTTAATGACCATATGGTTGGATTAGAACTCAGTCACTAGAGGAGGGACCAAAAGCCATCCCACAGAAATACAAAGGGGCAGGGAAACCAAATATATCTGATGACCTAGCCTTAACTGCTTCCTGTGTGTGTTTGTACAATTGAGTGGTAGTGGCCCACCACTGAATAACAAATAGATTCTCAATCAATTGTTTCTATGCTTTCTCTTGTCTAATTTACCTAATAATTCATCTTCACGTTTGACAATTATAAGCAGACAACCTGTGATAACATCATCTTTTCTCCCACATCATAAAATATTCTTGTGACAGGCAGCTTAAAATATTCCTGAAGCAGTTAAGGCCATTATCCCCCAAACCTGAAATATCTCTAGAGTAGACATCTTCTCTACAACTTTA